GCAGACATTGCTGCTATGAACATTGGGGTGCATATGGCCCTTCTTTTCACTACATCTGTGTTTTGGGGGTAAATACCCAGTAGTGCAATTGCTGCATCATAGGGTAGCTCTATAATGGTTCTTCTTGAATGGAGAAGCAAGGGAAGACTTCGGTCCCTCCAACATAAGAATAAACAGAAATAAGCATAATAATGAATGCCACCAGCATTGGGGCTTTCCTTTAGGGCATTGTGTCCAGTGTTTTATAATTACCCTTTAATATGAAAATGTACAAAAAAGTAAATAAACTATTTGCCTCCAGGAGGGTAGGTGACTCTGTCTATTTCCTTCTGTCTTTGTAGGTGATAGATCCTAAGGGAATTTTTCTATACTGATCTGAGTTTGAGTGAAGGATGTCAGAATATGAAGTCAAGAGAAAGAGGGAGAAAGGGAGGGGGTGAGAGTGGAGGATGAGAGGGCTCAGTATTTGAATAAGAACACACAGAATGTTAGAAGTGTGTTGCTATCTGACATCTTATGGAAATCTTTTTCCCTTCTTCCCCACATTACTTTCAGTGAAACATCAATTTCTCACTCTTGTGTTTTACTTGAATCTATCTGGGAGATGTGTTGGAGGGCACAGTAATATCTCAGGATGGCACAAAGAGAGATCAGGATATGTGTACCCTCTTTAACAGATGAGAAATATTGGTGGACATCACTCATGAATGAAGGAGTCACAGGCAACTTTAGATCTGTCTGAGTCCCATGCTGCGGTTTGGGAATACTATATATCTGGACATCCAAGAAGAGGGACTTTGTTGGTGTAAGTTCATACTCAAAACTGTGGCCAGATATTTGGGCTGCAGGCAGAAGATGTTTTTTAATAGTAAATGTAAAAATGGCTATCACATATGAGTACCTGCTGTTTGCCAAATGTAGGAAGGGTTTCCTGTGCATTCACCCTTCTAAGTCTCAAAATAAACTATTATTTCTGCTCATTTAGATATGACCCACATCTATTACTATTCACATTTTTGAAAGGCAGAAAATGCAAACCTGAGAGATGATTTGTCCCCAGCCACACTGCCCTGAAGTGGTGAAGCAGGAATCCATTACAATCTGCATGTGAGTGGGGTTGGTGATCAGGAATGCATCTCTCTCAGGTGCCTGCAGAGAGAAATGTGGTCCTGACTGGGAGAGGAAGGCTGTCATTAGAAGGAATAGACACCTTTCAGGGAAGAGGGCAGGTACAAGGAAGATGACAGGTACAGCTGCGGGCGCACACCCCTTTCACACAGCCAGAGAGAAATACTGATTCCAGAGAAGTTACAGAGTTGCTTTGTCACATCAACACTGACAACGAGACCCTGGGGTTCCATTTCATTATTTTACAATTATTGGTGTAAATGACTAATGCCAACCCATCACACCTAAGATGTCTTTTTCCAGAGCCTGTGACTATGTTCCCTTACCCAGGAAAAGGGACTGCATGCAGATGATATGCAGTTAAGGATCTGAGACAGAAGAATTACCCCGGATCATCCAGATGGGCCTGCTATAATTGCAAGTCTCCTTCTAAAAGTGGGCAGGAGGGGTCAGACACAGAGAGAAGTAGGGGATGTGACACTGGAAGGAGGCATTGGAGTAACTGAGCCAGGAACCTTGTGCTAAGGAATGCTGCTGCCTCTGGAAGCTGGGAAAGCAGGAGACAGATTCTCCCCTGGATCCTCCGAAGGACGCGGCCCTGCTCACGCCTGGTGACCCTGATTTTGTCTTCTGGCCTCCAGCATAGAGGAGGATAGATGTGTGTGGCTTTAAGTCACTAGGTTTATGTGCTTTGTTATAGCAGCCCTAGAAAACTGACTCGTGAAATGGCATCCTGTCATTCTATGTGAATTGTTTCATGACAGAATTAGTTTCAAGTCAGATTCTTATGCCATTCTTCTTTATTGAGAAGACTTAGGGCATGGAGATCATTCATGAGAAGGGCTGAGTATCCTCAGAAGTCCATCAGCAAAGGTGAAGGAGTCCCGATAGCTCTGCTGCAGGATTTGCTCATTGGCGGCAAGGCCCCTGTGGTGTGTTGTGAGGATACATGTGACCATGAAGCTGTAGGGTACCCAGCCCAGGGCCTGGGGATCCAGCCTCCATGAATACTTACGACTCTTCTATTTGCTGAGTCCTTCATTTCCATAGAATGTGTGGAAAGTGGCTAAGTTTGCCAGTAGAGAAAAAAAGGTAAAACCACAGCTCTTGGCACTCTTAGAACATTTTGCAGCCTTCACATGGCGCAGAGACCTTGCTATCTTCACTTCATTGAAGTTCCTATGAATTATTTTTGAATAGCGTGATCGCTGTACAGCACACATTGGTATTCTATTCCCCCATGAATCTCCCCATTAGCTTGTAAGCTCCTTGGGGTCAGGGTCTCTCTCTTGCTTACCATTGTACCCTACTATACTTGACACATAGTAGGTACTTAAATATTTGTTAATTGCCTGAAAAACTCAATTTAGTGAGTAAATAATATTCTAGTGCAACTACAATATATTATAGATCATAGTATGCTATAAGTGTATTGTTCCATTATACAAAACACATATATTAAATTATATGTAGTATATATTATATACTATGATACTATATATGATAGTATATATAACATATAATATACCATA